AGTGAGGAAACTCATTGGGTTAGAGGGCTGATGGAGGTAGTTAGAACCAGATGGTTTAAATGGATACCCCCCTAGTTGGAGTGCAGTTACGGCAGATAGTGTAAAACCTTCGGGCAGACTACTTAAATAAGCACTCGTCTATACTCTAATAAAAAGTTTCCCAGACCAAAGAGGTCACCTTAATACCAAAAAAAAAAAATTCTATATTGTCTAGCTATACTAAAAATTACTCTCTTTATTTTCTCCTTTTAACCTTCTAAATTTAACTTATTTGCCTATCAAACTAATTTAATTAACAAATCTCACAAGCCCTGGGTGCTTACTTGCTATAATAATGATATTATTATTGGTCAAGTTTGCAAAGTTTTCCATTAATCCAACTCAATTTCTATTACTCACTAGCAACATAATATTAACTCTTCTTTTTCTTCTTGTTATCCTCTTTCTCTTATCACTTGTGAGCCTTGTCAAGGCTGTAGTTTAAACTTCTTTCATATCTCTAATCATTGTATACTTGAAGTTTCTTCAATTCTCTTTATCTAATTCTTTGGTAGAAAATCTAATAATAAACTTAATGCCAACTATATTGATCTCATTTATTTTGCTGCTTTTAAAAACCCACTTAAGATTCTATCTTTACCTTCTATTAATATTATAGACTCTCTTACTTTATCTCTTTTCTATAACAATATTGCTTCTAATAATTTGCTTCAAATTGCTTTAGCTAATCAACCTTATCAAGAGTTCACTTTCTATACAGATGGCTTTGTCAAAAATCTTGGTACTGAGGAATACACTATGGGTATTGGATGAGCCCAAGTTCACAATAATACTGTTATTCACAATTTCTCTGCTCAAATTTCTAACTGGCCCTTGTTATATAAAGCTGAGCACCTTGCTATTTTCTTTGCTATTTCTACTCTTTCATGCAATTCTTTTGTTAATATTTATATAGACTTTCAATCTGTAATCTCCAAGTATAATAAGCTTCTCCAAACTCTTTACTCTATAACTAAATATTTTAAATTTAATTCTTGGTCAATCTGGTATACACTTATTAACTCAATTAAAGTATATAATATTGACTTAACTTTTTACAAAGTCCAAGCCCACAGTAATGACACTTTTGATAATTTAGCTAATCACCTTGCTAATAATCATACATCCTCTCCAACTCTATTGTTTAATTATTCTAATATACATAACTCTTCTTTCTTCTTTCAATGGAAAAATTTCTTAATTAATAGCCCTTCTAGATGCTTCATTAAAAATATCTGCAATGCTAATACTATTTCTATATAATCCTTCCAAAGACGTACTGATAAATAGTTGCACTTTTTCAATCTTATTGACTGGAATTCTATATAGCTCTACTTTAACAATAATCATAAACATTCACACAATTTCACTAATTCTAAACTTAGTCACCTTAAATCTTTTAAAATTAAAATATTATTTAATAGTCTACTTATATACTTTCATTTTCATTCTATTTCACCTAACCTATCCCATCTTCTAACTGTTTTCAATGCAATCTTCCTGACTCCTCTTTTCACTGGTACTTCTGTTCTCACTATAATCTCTTATTTCAAATTATTAATTATTCTATTCCAAAAATTATTTTGAATGCCAACCTTGACCTTGTTTCTCACAAACTTAATTACTTGATACATACAATTTCATCTTATCCTTCCTTCTCCCTCTATCCATACTCTCTCCATTCTACTCTTAAAAGTCTTATTCCTTCTCTACTTGTCCAATGCATATTACTATTTGACATATCTTATTCAATAGCTTCGCAGCTAATTATCAAAATCTTTATCAAAATTTCTAATCAAATATATGAATAAATATAGAAATCATACTGTATTAACTTTTTTATCTGAAAAAAGCACACTAAATACACAAATTCCACCTCTATTCAGGTTAGTCAATGATCTTCTATAGTATTGTTGGTACCATGTTGGGCGCTAATATTGGTGCCAATAAATGCCTGCTTACATCGTGCTGTGTTCCAAAATTTAAAATCAAGTTATGCTCATGCCTTAAACATTTTTTTTTGTACTATACACTGTTATGTAATTCTTTATAACACTCATCTGAATTTTTAATTTATTTATTAAATTATAAAAACTAGATATACAAAAGCATTTTTCTTATTGTATTTGTATTATTTTATATAAATATGATGATTTTTTTTTAATAATAATTTATATTATTATATTTGTGCCCATGCCAAATTTTTATGCCTATACTTATGCCTATGCCAAATTTTTGTGCCTAACCTATACTTATATCAAAATTTTTATACGCTATACCTATGCTTATATTTAGGGTTTGGTATTTGTGTCTATACCTATATTTTTTGTTAGGCACAGGCTTGCAGAACCCTAGTTAGAGTTTTAAACTAATTACAAAAAAAAAAATATATCCACTAGTTAAAAACTTTATAAGAATAAGTCCGTGTACTTGAGAAGAAAATTTTGAATATCAAGGCATAACTATAATTGTAAAGAGAAAAGGAAGTAGGGTTGTGTTTAATTTTATTTCTATGGATATTATTGATCTTTCAACAACGGAAATATATATTTATGCCAAGTATTTACCAATACTCAATAATACCTCAGTATACTTTTACAGAGTTTTCTACTATCACATAGCACAACTAAAATATTTTAAAAAAAACTTCTTTATAAAGACCAAAATGTAATATTGAAGTATTATAATTTAAATTTACTTAAAAGGTGTTTGAAAAAAATATTTATGTGAAATTTGATATCATATAGAAAGTAGTATGAATACGACAAGCATCTGTGATTGTAATTATCTATATATTTGTTAAAGAAACTTTTACGTTGGCCACATAGTTTTTAATTTAAATTATCTTTATTTTCAGGTCGACATTTTAACGTAAATAACAAATTCCGAAATACTAACATCATAAAGTGCCTGTAAACTTAATTCATGAGTAAAACGAAGTAGAGCTTTACAATTCATTAAACGCATAACAAGAAATGTCTTTTCTCACTTATTGGTAAAAACATCCATCCTTTCTCGAATAGCTCTTCTTTTGAATCGATTTAAATATTCCGACAAAAATTAATTATTCGATGTCATACTCAGGTGAACCATTTAGTGATTGTTAGAGGATTACAATAATAGAATCACATAGCAATAAATAAATCGTTTGTTTGAGAGTTTTTTTCACAGCGGCAATTTCTTGAGTCGTCTCTTATTGGGTATTAATTTTGGGATTTATGTTATAAACAAGGTGAATTTACATATAAAGGCCCGAAAAATGAAAATAATTACAAATAAGGGCCCAAAGTGAAAATAATTACATATAAGGGCCAAAATAACGATGATGATAGTGGTTCTTCGAACGCTATAACTGTATGTATGTATTGATTAATTTTAACCAAGAAACAATTCTACTAGGTTAATAACGATATATATAGCTATTGTAATGTTTATTCTGTTCTAAACTAATATGTTTATTCTGTTCTAAACTAATACGTTTATCTATCGCTATACCAAATTAGTGAATTAATAGTTTGTGAAGGTTATTATGCATTAATCGAAGATATTTAGAACTGAAGAAGCTCATTTTTATTCGTAGAAAAATCGGCAAAAATGGTTATAATTTTTACATGAAAGGCGCTAAGAGAATAAATTCAATACTGGTTAAAAAGTAATACGTTTAAATGTCAAAAGACAATTACATTTATATAATTTTATATGCAAAAATTTGCAAACCCTATAATAGTTAATTACACCTTTTTATAAGTCAACAATCGTATATAGAAGTCTGATAAAGTGTCTATTAAATCAAAGCCAAAAAATGGGTACTAATCATAAGCCGCGTATATTCAAGTCCGCGTCTTCGCAGAGATCAAATAGAGTATTGATGGCAGTCTCATGAAACTTGGGAAATTTTCTGACAAATCGTAGAACTGTCGATAAGCGGCTTGCAACTACGTGTACTTTCTCCATGTGCACCATTAATTATTGTTTTGTATGATTTTTTTTAGCCTCCTTAAAATCCATATAATTCATAAAGTGCATCTTCCCACAGTCTAAACCGATGAGTTTTCTACTATAATAATTCAAATACAGTATGGTCTTAGGATTGTTCACGCACTTAGAATCACCTTATGTATCCAGTGAACTTGGATTTTTTTTATATGGTACTCTTTTGTGATTACCGTATAAGCGCGTAATAACGCGCAGGGGCGCGTTATTTCGGGACGCGCATGCGCGATAATTCGAATCATTATGCTAATTTTGAAAAAAAATTTCAACTACTAAGAACTTTCTTGAGGCATCATAATAGAATTAGAAAGAAATACTTAGTTTTTTTGAGATAAAGACAATATAAGGCAAATAAATTCTAGATATATTGATAATCCAAATATGATAACAAATAGGTTTCAGATTTAGAGGTTGAACCTAAGCTTATTATATTCAAATTTATTCGAAAAATTCAAAAGAGCACGTAATAATCTGGTACATATGGGGCGCATTATTTTGAGACGCGTATGGGTGTTATTTTGAATTAAATTTTTTAAAAAAATTGAAATGTCCACGTGCGTTATTACACGTTTATACGGTAGAAGGCATGAATAAAAAAAATAAAGGGTTGAAAAAAAATTTAAAATTTTTATATACAAAGTTTCTCGACAAAATTTAAGGGTTTATTCATTACTTCTCCAATTTCAAATATTATAAAGCGCAGATAATATGGGATGCGACAGTCTGTATAGAACTCATATTCTACTATATTAAAGTAAAAATTATAAGTGATCTAAATTTTATAAGTCCATATCACTGTTGAATGGATAGCAAACTCTCTAGAATTTATGAAAATAATTATAACTGGCTCTGAGGGAAGTTGATTTGGTTCTGTCGGGAAATTTTGTATAACCGTTATTTTCTCAAAATTATGATTACCGGTACATCCCATAACATTACAACTTAATGGATAATATATTTTTTTAAGATTAATTTGGGTTTACTTGATTATAAATCATGAGCGCATCTTTAGCACCCTCCCAGCATTGTCTTCCAAGTAAGCGATACTGTGAATTATAAAGAAATTCTTTAACCTTAGATAATTAATTCACGAAAAACGGTAATGATACCTTTAACAAATTTACCTGAACAGGAGTTCTTAATCCAAACATAACGAGTTTCCATATATTAAAACCAAAATTTTTTAATATCTCTAAAGAATAAGGATAACAACCTAAATCCTGACTCAATTCATCAAGGTAAGTAAGATAATCAACTTGAATTGTATGTCTTGCTGATAGATAATATCGCTTTCTGAGTTTATTATGATAATTTTTAATTGCGGTATTCATGTCTTGAGGCGATGGAAGTGGATCAATGAAACCTTTAATTAAACTCGTCACGTAACGAGATTGCATCTCGCTTTTTATGATCAGAATTAAATATAGTTTAGTATGATATTAATGTTATACCGGTTTTTTAAATAATAATAATTACTTACGTGATAGGAAAAATGGCACCAACTGGCTGTATTAAACCAATAAATGCGATATTACGAAAATTTGGCGGAAACATCATCTTATACATCCATGACAAGTTTTCTTTATATTCATCTTCAAATTCTTGTTCAATTTCTGGACCACCATTAACAATTTCTCTATCTAAAAATGGAAAATCTATATTATAACCAGTCGCATAAATTATCGCATCAATATTTTCCACAGTAGAACCGTCAACAAATTTAATTGATTTTGTTTCATCAGGCATTAATTCCAAAATGTTTTTTGTTACAATAATAGTGCCGGTACTGAGACGTTCAAAAAAATCCGATTTTACAGTTGGATGTGAAGAATAATATGGAACGGTTGGTTGGAGAGATGGTGGATGGGGACCTACAGTCTGAACGATAAGTTTTGTGAAAGTCGAACGAGAATTTGGAAAGTAGGTAGAAAAACGATTTGCTAAATGGTCAACTGGTTTTCCACCGATCAAACGGGGTATGATCCACGGGAGTGTTCCTATCGAAATATGGAATTGAATAACTAGAATAGCTGAGAGAAGAATACATTAATAAATATAATGATATTTTAATTACCTCTACGAACGCATAAGTACACTTGTGATGCGATATGAGATAATTCAACAGCAATATCAATTCCACTATAAATAAAAGTTGCAATAGCTGAGTATATGATTTAATTAAAAATGTGAGGGACCAACATGAAGTTGGTTCCAACGTGAGGTCAATTAGTATTTTTTATGATTATTATTCATCGACGGACTTTAAATACTAATTGACCACACGTTGGAACCAACCTCATGTTGGTCCCTCACAATTTAATATTAAAATATTGCATATTCATATCTGAAATTTAATAATATACCTATTGCCAATGCCCACGACAACAACACGCTTATTTTCGAAATGTGCAGACCTAATAATATTTTTTTATAAAAATAAAAAACCTTGCATTATTTGGGCACATTAATCAAAACATATGATAGTCCATTTAACATTAAGGAATGAATGAATATATTGAAATTCAAAAAAACATCATCAATCATACTATAATTACTAATGATTAATGATGACGCATCATTTTATTTATTGATTCTTTACTTACCGCCTGTAAAAATGTGAATGAGTTTGTTCACCCTTAAATTCGTCCATCCCTTTATATTTAGGCCACCTATGCTTCCTATGATGTCCATTACAAACCATAACATAATCAAATATTTCTTCATGTTCACTATTTTGATTCTGATCCTTATCTACACAAGTAATATATTTAACTTTCCAGCGATGATCAGGAAGATAAGATACACGAGCAACAGTTGTATGAAATTTAATGTATGGCCTAAGTTTGAAGTTGTCGGCGTACATATTAAAGTATCTTTTTTAATGAAAGATAAATATAGTAAGTAATTTTATTTGTAGGATGCAAAAAAAGGCAAATAAAAAATAAAAAGTACTTTGCGACAAGTGAGTTATGTAAGTAAGTTGGCCACTCCGCAGGGATTGGAAAATCCGAAAATGTCATCTATTATTTATGATAAAACTAGAAAAAATAACTCATTATATAAATAAATAAATACAATTCCATAAATTTACGCACCATTTCTTTTGAAGTATTAATAACAAGGCTTTTATAAGCTGATGAATGTGGATCCTTATTTTCATCATCAATTTCAACAAAATTCCAAAGACCTCCTACATAAGATGTTTGTTCGAAACATATTGGGTCCAAATTATCAGCGAGACATTGTTTTAAGGCTGCTAACCCTGATGAACCTGATGTTTTTTTTATCTAGATATAAGTTGTTGATCAACTATTTTAAATTATAAAGTATATTATTTTAGCATACCGGCGCCGATAATAGCAACACGTGGTTTTTTAACCATTTTACCAATGTATCAAATGTAAACGAGAATCAGATCTTTATATATTTATGTATACTGTAATATTTGAGTACCCAAATTATTAGGTTACACGACATACCCTCTATAAGTGCACACCCTCTCTAAATGCACACACGGATTTTGGCATTTTCTTTTTGTTCTTTAAGTGCACGTCGTTAAATTCTGGTCCCGAGTGCGTGCACTTAGAGAGGTTTCACTGTATGTTCTCAATAAATTTTATCTAACGAATAAAATTTTTTCATTAGCGATTGGAAAATTAAAGATCATTTTAATGAAATTTTGTTCTTTAAGTATTATATATACTTTATAGAACTAACAATCATAAAGAAAGTTGGATTTTTAAAACAGTAAATTTAATATATGGGGGTGAGTCAATAGAAATCAAACAAATTTTTTTATAATAAATATTTTTTAATAACTTAACAAAAACTTGACAAAATTTAATAAAAAATTTTTTGAAAAATCTTTAACAAGACAAGAAATTTTATTAATAATTAAATCTTTAATTCCTTATTTAAATAATATAGATCGTTTATAATTTAAAAATTTATCAAATTTATCTCATAATAATTTAGTAATAATTCTTCAAGAAATTAAAATATTTTAGCTGAAAATAATATTAAATATATAATATAAATATATACTTTATACAAATAATTTTATATTTTTTACATAATAAAAATTTTATAATTAACTAAAAACAATAATACTTTATTTTTAAATAATACTTTTCTATAAAATTTTTCTTAATAAATTTAAATTTTTATATTAAATTTAAAAAAATATTATTTAGTAGCAACTCTTCCCATAGATTACTTTGCCAAAATAGAAACAAGAAGAAAAAACTTTTCCACGACATTTTCTTAAAAACTTATTAAGTAAATTAAAATATTCAGCTCTTAAGTAAAGTTATCCAGCACTTTAAAAACTACTTAAAGGAGGTGCAAATTTTGTTAAAAGACCTTTCCATGACAAGCTAGTAACAATAAACATCCAAAACAGCAACAAACCAGTTTTTCAATCCTCCTGTGAAAGTGGTCCTAAGAACCCTCAACTTTCCAATAAACAAAAATATTATACAAGTAGTGTTTCAAGCAAAAATAATCAAAACCAACAAGTATCACATTCTATTAAGCCCAAGACCCCAACAAAAACATGACTTCCAGAAGCTCCTCTTCCTACTTTAGATTTTTTTTTCAGACTTCAAAGCCTGTACAATCTGAAAACACTCCTATTATTAGCTCACTACTAGATCTCAGTGTAGAGCACACAAAAAAATTTTTAAACATCACTATTAAAGACTGGTTCAAACTCATATTTTCTGTTAGCTTCTCCATCCCAGAATATGCTAACAACTTCGTCTTCTTTGTCAATATTACCAAATCTAGAAAGATTCCCAACTTGACCAACTACTTATCACAATGGGTATACAGACATGAAGATCCTACCCAATCAGTTTTGTTTGACCTTATATCTCAAAAAAGCAATATTATCAATATTAGCACCAAACACCCGAAACCTACTTGGAATAGTGACCTTGCAACAATCTTAGACCTATATGAAGCTAATATGAAACTTTACTTGAAAGCTAAAAGTACAGATAATCTAGCCTCAATTCTGTACAATGTAATTACAAATCTTAATTCAGACAATAAATTCAACAGAAGCTTCAATGAGCAGGTTGTACATGCAGCTATCAACACCAATCTTAGCTCTCCACAAGATACAAATACAGGTTATACAGATACCAATACAAGCAATAGTACTACAAACCCTGTGCTAACTACAAATAAACCCCTAACACCAATGTAGTACCCAGACCCAGTACTCCTACCAACCAGATTACCCAGCCTGTACTCTCCGCATCTAGTACCAACTATATCCCTGCAGTTTCAAACTCTAGAGTAAATCGTAAAAAACCAAGAGACCTATCTAATATATCTCTACTCGCAATAACTTCACACAAAGCTACCAAAGCTTTACCTAACAACACTGCCACACCCACTGGTATACAAGCTAGCACAACAACTACTACAAGATCTACTTATAGTCAGGTTACTTAAACAAATCTTAATTTGCTCAAAACAGAGGCCCCAGAAGATGAAATGATATGGGCTGATAAAGTATATCTTAAAACTATTACACCTATTGATATGCCCTTTGATATGGATCGCTAGACAATAAAAAAAATTTCTAAAGCACTTGAAATTCCTGAAGGAATCTATGAATTTACTAGTCACAAGCTTGTTTTTGTCACAACACAACACAAGCTTCCCAAAGCAATCGTCTCAGATTCTTTACTATCTTTATACATAACCCCAAAACTATCCCCGCACATCAAAAGGAATACAACGAAATCTTTAACAGAGCTCTAGCAGCATATAAACAAGACTATGAGATTACACTTACCGTATTTTCGCGTAATAACGTGCAGGGGTGTAATTTCAAATTTTGGCCCAAATTAAGCATAATTCGGGCCATTATTCGAAATAACGCTCATAAGCATTATTACGCGAAAATATGGTACTAATACCACTACTTGTGACACTATTTATATAATGTTCAGAAAGTGGCTCATAGCCCAGTACCTTTCAAATCTTAATTTTAACAGAACAACATACAGGTATATGCAATGCCATTCAGTATGCCAGAGATTTCCTTAAAATCAAAAATACTAGTGAGTGAACTTCCAAAGAAATCAGAGCTCAAATCAACAGAGCACTTAAAAACAAGCTCATTCCATTACTAGACACACCAGAGGAAATATCATAAGAGGTTCAGAAAATCCTACCTTTCCAACTTCCTATTAAACTATAATCACTCACCAGAGCTATAGTAAATGCTTTAAGAAAAATCTACAAATTCTCTGAGCTCCCTGATGCATACTTTGTCAAACTTTCTCAACTACCCTCCCATTATAATGAACTACCTCCTAACTTACATCAACTATTCCCTATTTCACATAGGTCTTCACTTCAATATCTTGCCCTATACAAAAGGAAGCTTGCAAACTCATATACTGTTGACAAGATCCCAGACTCATTCTTTGATCTACTACCCAAAAAGACACCCCTACCTACTACATACCAGAAGCTCAATCCCAAAGTTCGAAAATTCTTTTCTTTTAATCAAGCTACTTCATTTATTCTCTTGGCCGAAGTTGTTTCTCAACTCAGAGAATTCTATACATTCAAGCTACTGCCCAATGACTTCTTTACTGTCAAACTCTCACTCTCTACAGATATCAGTAAGATTAGAACTAAAACTGCTTTCAACTTCCCAATCACAGATAATACAGAGGCTAAAGAGTTTATTAGTCAAATTTCTCCCTACTACAAAGTTCAATTGCCTCTCCCCACCATGATCATGCAAGCTAATCCCACCAACAAACCTGTGCTGCCAGATGCAGAAGAAATTACTAAACTCTATAAAATCACCTTTGCAATCATATTTATGCAAGAACTTACAGCTATGGCTAGACTTCTTCACAAATACTATAGTAAAACCTCTATAAGTGCATGCCCTTGAGACCAAGCTTTAACAATATATATTTAGAGAACAATAAGAGAAAGTGCATTTATAGAGGGCATGTATATATTTGGGCCAGAACTTAAGCATGCATTTAGAGAGGGTGTGCACTTATAGAGGGTGCACTTATGGAGGTTTTACTGTACTACTTTACTCAGCTCTCCCAAAACTGAATTCAAATTAGAAATAGGCCTCCAACTGACTCTGAGGGTACTAACCCAAATAGCCAGCAGGCCCTCCTAATATTTCAGAAGACATTGAGGAAATCATTAAAACTCTGTCCAGGGAGAAAATTATTGTTTTACTCTGATTCGGAAACAATCAGTTATTATCTTGACTATGCAATCTCTTAGACAATTCTACACAATCAAAAAGATCACAGACTTCTTGTTAGACCTCCCTTCTCTTCCAACTCCAGCTTGGGAAATATTTAGCTATACACCATTTCTAACTACTTCAACTACTCCAAGCACAATACAATCTTTTGCAGAGGCTCAGGCATCAATTCCAATACCTATGGTAGAAGATAGTGCAACCTCGACTTCCTGTTTTAACAATACTCTAGCAGCACTGTTAACTTTAGCAAAAACTCATTCAGCCCTGCCAAGCAATGCAGAATTAGCAAATACAACTATCAACTCTATTCCATCAAGCATCCCTGCACTGATAGACACAAACTAAATATTATATGAATACTAATACAATCCCTACTCCACTACCTTAAACCAGCTACAATACAAATCTCTCACCACTCAACTTCTCTATATGCATACATAATGTTCAAAGACTTAATAATGATGCTAAAAAAGAAGCATAGAAAGATTACTGTATTGCACATAATCTTAGTATAGTAAGTATCACTAAAACCAAATTAGCTACTAGCAATAGAACAGCCAAGCTTTTCAAAACCCCTCACTACACCTACTATTGGTCCTGTGCCAATAGCTCAAAAGCAGGAACTGCTATTATGATACAAAACCAGTTCACTCCACATATATATAAAATTATCACTGCACCTAGACATGCTATTGTTATAAATTTGCTCTTCAAACATGATTTCAAATTTTGAATTATCTCTATTTACTTGCCTTGTAATGACTCACTGCTTAGACTACAAATACAAAATACTATTATCCAATAGGTTCAACAAGCACTCTCCAATAACCTATTTCCTATTGTTCTTAGAGACTTTAATGCAACAACCTGTGATAACAGGTCAAGTTCTATTAAATACAAACTTCTCCAATTTCTCACCACAAGTAGTATATACAACCTGGCAGCCCATACTAGCCAGTTAGCACCTACCTGGAGTAGCTCCAAATACCAGAGAGAGATGGACTATATTTGGGCATATTAACCTATTCTACAGTACCTCACCAACTATAGTATTGAAGATACTGACACTAGATTATAAAATCCTACTATCATATTGGTCATTTCCTTATACCTACACAGAGCAACTGAGACACAAGACTCAGACTCATAGAAGAATATTCAATTACAAGGCTATAAACAAAGAACTTTGGGAGAACTATACCAATCAAGTTAACTCCAACCTTTCATAACACAATACACCTCTCACAATTCACACTAGTGAGTTACTAGAAACAAAATCCAAACTAGTATTATCTCAGCAGCTCTCAAACACATCTCCAACAAAAAGTTTGTAGTTAGAAACTTCCAACACATCTTCACATCTAAAGCTTCCTTCTTATATACAAATCTCAAAAAGCTTGGTAGTATTATCAGAAAAACCAAACATGCAATAACCAACAACTTTCCTATTCCCATTTAGCTAAACCCGGATATTATTACAATTAATTAACAATGCCAGCTTGATATTCCTCTTCTTTCTTCTAGTACTTTATCAAATACAGCATGGCTCACCAATGCTAATACTGAATAGAAAAGTCTTTATCATGCCCACAATCTTGAAAATGCCAGAAAACTAGATAGTCAATTACTGATGCAATCCAGAAAAGATGTACCAAACTACAAACAAATCCTACCTCTATGATTAATAGTATACTAAATAGACACAAAGACCTAGTCAAATTTGATAATATCAAACTAAACAATGATGTAGTAACAGATCTTGCTCTATCAAAACCCATATACAACAACACTTTGACAACTGGACAGCCCCTCATCAAATAGACCAACTTCTTTTTAATACTCACTGGCAAGCAGAATATATACCTAAATCACATATTAGCTCAGACTAATACTCTACCACACTCTCAACTTTTTCATCTTAGCCAATACTCATCCAATTAGTCTAATAGAACATATCAAAAAGCTTTACACCAAACTGCTAACCAATCGTCTAAACAATATTCTCTTTTCTCACAACATTATCTCTTCTTACAATTATGTTGCATTGCCAGACAACTCTACTACTATCCCTATTCATATTCTTAACAATATTATTGAAGATGCTGCATGCAACTCAAACCAATTATGGATTCTCTCCCAAGATATGAGTAAAGCTTATAACTCAGTTATCCTTGACTTATTTAGTAATTCACTATACAGAATTGGCATACCTAAGGCTCTTGTCAATATCCTTACCAATTTACTCACTGACTGCACCAACTGAGTTATTACCAATCTGGGATTGACAAAGAGCTATTCTGTTAAAAATGGTATTGACTAGGAAAAAACTATCACACCACTATTCTGGAGAATTTACTATGACCCACTAATCTTACATATAGCTAATTACTAATTTGGATATACACTCTCTACATCCTGGCAGACAAACTTTACACACCCATCTACTAATCATCTTCAAGCATCAATCTTAGTACTGGCATATATAGATGACACTGTATGGATTGCCCAATCTAAGAAAGACCTAGAAAAAATTATAAATACAGCCATATCTTTTTATCAAATAGCCAATATACAAGTTAGCCCTACTAAATCTATATTCATTTCCAAACAACCCAATACCAGTATCTTATTTTTAAATACCAGCTTAACTTCTATCTCTATATACCAACCATTTAAATTCTTGGATACTGGTTTATTCTCAATAACAAGCAAATAGCCCAAATTAAACTAATACAAGATGAAGCTCTACAACTAGCTAATATTGCTAATACAAAAATTATTACTAACAAACAGGTTGCTTATATCATTAACACAGTTATTATACTAACAACAGAATATAGAATTCAAAACATCATTATTTCACACTCAACCTGTAACTGACTACAGAATAATCTCTGGTTCATGACTAGCCTACTTTAGCATCCTTACCCACATATAGATAGCTCTAATCGTCACACCACTAACTTCAAGATCATACAGCTGCACAATTCTCTTGGTTTGACAATAGAGACAAACCCTCATATACCATGACCACAAACTATTAACAGTAGCAACACATTACTTGAACAGTTTATAGCTCACCACCACAACTATAGTACCTTTAAACAGCAAATTAGATATAAAAGAATACTTTATCTTAAGCAGCTATGCATAGCAGACAATCAAACTCTATTAGAATGGACACATCTCTCTCCAGACTGCTACATCTTCCAAAAGGGAAAAACCATTGTGGTTTACATATTTAGAAAACACTCTACTAGTGGATACTTACTACTGCACTATACATCCACACCTGTAGCCACAAGGAATTAACTCATCTGCCTATTATACTAATTTTATTCACAAGGTCTACAAGCCCTGGTTACTTATATACCAAGATAATAATATTATTATCGGGCAAATATGAAAGAAGTTCCCAAATACAAACTCAGTATCAATTACCCACTAGAGACACAATATTGATACAGCTTAACAAAAGAAATACCCACTTCAATCTAAATTCCAATCAGATAACCAATCACTGCACACTCGAGGTCTCCTTAACTCTGTTTACTCAGTTTCTAGGCAGAAATGCATTTAGCAAATCTCTAAAACTCAATACTAACTATATAGATCTTATTTATTCTACAGAATCAAACACCCTCTTTGTATCTTTCCACCTCCTTCTATCACTATTTCAGATCTACCTACTACCTATATTTTTCAAAATAGTGAGGCCTTCCAAAAGCTCACCCAACTTGCACTCTATAACATCTCTTCTAAAGATTTTATTTTCTATACAGATAGGTCTGTGACAGGACTAGGCACAGACCAATGCTCAATAGGCATAGACTAGGGGCTGATAGAGTTGGGAGTAATTTGTAAACTGTTTCAGATATAGAGGTAAGTATTATTTGACTGAGTAGATTGGGCTGTAGGCATGTTAGCTAGTGTATAGATGTCTCTGGAAGATTATAGTTGAAGCAGTTAGGAGACTAAAAGTGCTTGTATGAGGTTGTGTAAAAGTAGCTGTAGGTAGAGAGGCAGTTTAGAAGTATCTTGATTTTGAAGGCTTTTACATGATTGAGTTTCTGGCTATTGTAACTGTAAGATTCTTTAATTGTTGTTGAGGTATAGCCAGGTTGCTTGCTAGTCAATTATGTCTATGACACCTTCATTGGATCTTAAACCCATTAATTCTAAAGAAATTAGCTAGTCTGACCTTATTTATTTCAATTACACGACCCTTCGTTAAATCTTAGACCCACTAATTCTAAAGTAATTAGTATGCTGTTCTAAGTCTGACCTTATTTATTCTAATTACGATGCCTTTGTTGGATCTTAGACCCATTAATTCTAAAGAAATTAACATGCTATGCTGTTCTAGTCTGATCTTATTTATTCCAATTACGATGCATTCGTTGAATCTCAGACCTATATTTATAAAGAAATTAGCGTGCTGTGCTGTTCTAGTCTGACCCTTATTTATTCCAATCACACAACACCTTCGTTGGATTTTAAACCCATTAATTCTAAAGAAATTAGCTAGTCTGACCTTATTTATTTCAATTACACGACCCTTTGTTGAATCTTAGATCCACTAATTCTAAAGAAATTAGTGTGCTATTCTAAGTCTGACCTTATTTATTCCAATTACGACGCCTTTGTTGGATCTTAGATCTATATTTATAAAGAAATTAGCATGCTATTCTAAGTCTGACCTCGCTTATTCCAATTACACGACCCTTTGTTGGATCTTAGACCCATTAATTCTAAAGAAATTAGCGTGCTGTGCTGTTCTAGTCTGACCTTATTTATTCTAATTACACGACACTTTTATTGGATCTTAAACCCATTAATTCTAAAGAAATTAGCTAGTCTGATCTTATTTATTCCAATTACACGACCCTTCGTTAAATATTAGACCCACTAATTCTAAAGTAATTAGTGTGCTGTTCTAAGTCTAACCTTATTTATTCCAATTATGATGCCTTCGTTGGATCTTAGACCCATTAATTCTAAAGAAATTAACATGCTATGCTGTTCTAGTCTGACCTTATTTATTCCAATTACGACGCCTTCATTGGATCTCAGACCTATATTTATAAAGAAATTAGCATGCTGTGCTGTTCTAGTCTGACCCTTATTTATTCCAATTACACGACACCTTCGTTGAATCTTAAACCCATTAATTCTAAAGAAATTAGCTAGTCTGACCTTATTTATTTCAATTACATGACCCTTTGTTGAATCTTAGATCTACTAATTCTAAAGAAATTAGTATGCTATTCTAAGTCTGACCTTATTTATTCCAATTACGATGCCTTTGTTGGATCTTAGACCTATATTTATAAAGAAATTAGCATGCTATTCTAAGTTTGACCTCGCTTATTCCAATTACATGACCCTTTGTTGGATCTTAGATCTATTAATTATAAAGAAATTAGCGTGCTGTGCTGTTCTAGTCTGACCTTATTTATTCCAATCACACAACACTTCCATTGGATCTTAAACCCATTAATTCTAAAGAAATTAGCTAGTCTGACCTTATTTATTCAAATTACATAACCTTTCGTTGGATCTTAGACCCATTAATTCTAAAGAATTTAGCGTGCTGTGCTGTTCTAGTCTGACCCTTATTTATTCCAATCACATGACGCTTTCGTTGGATCTTAGATCTATATTTATAAAGAAATTAGCATGTTATTCTAAGTCTGACCTTATTTATTCCAATCATATGTTAGACCCACTAATTCTAAAGAAATTAGTGTGCTGTTTTAAGTCTGACCTTATTTATTCCAATTATGATGCCTTCGTTGGATCTTAGACCTATATTTATAAAGAAATTAGCATGCTGTGCTGTTCTAGTCTGACCCTTATTTATTCCAATCACACAACACCTTCGTTGGATCTTAGACCTATATTTATAAAGAATTTAGCATGCTGTTCTAAGTTTGTCCTTATTTATTCCAATCACATGACTCTTCGTTGGATCTTAAACCTATTAATTCTAAAGAAATTAGCTAGTCTGACCTTATTTATTCCAATCACATGATGCCTTCGTTGGATCTTAGACTTAACATATTGTGATTGGACAATCTTCATTACAAGGTGGTTGATTGCAATTATTAATGCTTCAACGAATATTTATTTATTTTACACCTGGTTGACATACGTAATATTTTATTTTCTTAATTTTCCTGGCATATATTTTTTTTACTATATATACGTACATAGTACAGTACGTATGTATTTCGACTATTGGATATATATAGAAGATATACTTTTTATTTTTTACGTTTTCTTATTATTTTACTATATATGGTACATAATAGTATTGGTATTGAGTTTACATAAATTATGGACATCCCCATAAACAACGTATCCAAAAATAATCATCTATTCTTGACTTTTAGTTTTAGAACTAACACATTGCCCACGATTTATTTTTTACTTTTTATTATCACAATATTATTGGGATAATCTATTTATAATCAATCATATTACGTTAAGTTAGTGAAACAAGAAAGATATATGCTTCTGTAAATAATGATAGGTAGAGGTCTGATCTGATAAACAGTATATTCAATTCAATGAATATTCGGATATCCAAATATAATAGTTTCACAATTTTTACCAAATATTCATTTGAAAATTGCTGATGAGTATTTGGATATTAAAAAGATTGAACAAATGAATAATCGAACACTTATTTTTAGCCAGATCAGACCTACTATTATACCTATCTGCTAATCAATGTAGATATTATTAATAAAATCAAATAAGATGAGTATATAGGCTGCTGTCAATAAAAATCAGGCAGATTGATATTTTAAAAAAATCTACACATCAACTTTCACGGCTAATACTTCAATGAATTTTGAAGCTAGTTTAATAAGCTTTATGTATGGATTTTTTTAAAAATGTTAATCTGTCTGATTTCTATTGACGGTAGTCCATATTATTACAGAATTCTTGATATCGTAAATGATGGTTTCGCCTAGAGATGGGTTTCATGCATGCGCATGATTCCTCAATCGTGCGCATTAATGCGCATTTTATCCCATCTAAATTTTATATAGGAAAATTAAAGTATACCAAGGTGTATAATATCAGGCAAAATTAAGAAATAGGAATGCAAAAGTTTTGAAAATTCTGAAAGAAAATGAATGATGAGAAGGGTCGGGGAAAAATTTTGGCAAATATCCGATATTTTCTGGAAAGAAAATATAAAATCAAAAAATTATATCATGTTATGTCATGCATATTTTATATAACATGTGCATGTTATTATAAAATGCGCATTTTTCCCATCTCTAGTTTTGCTGCATTTCGCCATTTCATCTTTTAGAATTATTTTGGCGAAAACTAAAACTAGGTTTTTAGCTTTCACCAACGCAAAACCCATAGGCTTCGACTAACAACTATAGACCAAATTAGCCCTAACTACATGCTAAAACACTTGAAAGTTTAGCACAATAAGGTCAACTAACTTAATACAAATAAAAGGTATGTATTGATGAACCTGAATTGTTGTGCTTATATGAATAAATAACATTTATATTTACAAGTTAAATTTATTAAATACTGTATAAAAACTTGATTTGTAGTGTTCCTGAAAACAAGTTAATATTAATAATGCAGTATACATAGTTACAAATAAGCGTATTCATACTTATAAAGACGTTCAAACTCCTTCAAAAGATCTATTTTGAAAATTAATAGCTATAAAGCACGAACAGATGATAAATCTGAATTTGAAAACTCAGAAGAAGAGCCAGAAAAAAATATAGAAGAATTCGATGAAAGTGCAGATTTGTCTTGCAACAATTGAAAAGCCGTACTATTTAGCTAGAATCTACCCATGTTTGCAGCAAATGTGGAGGCCCGAAATATTAACAAACCAACAAAAAATAAATATCCATGTTGTAGTAACTGTGGCGATAACTTGATCAACCCAAGGAAATCTTCAATGAAAGCCAAGGTTAATAAACACAAACATGTAAATATAAATGAGTAAAAGTATGTAGAAACTTAGCTTTTTTTAGACAAATTGTTGATTTTGCGTATATGTAGTAAATTCTATTTTTCTATATTTTACCATGTACAAAATATAAATAAAGATATTATTCTTTAGTTTGCCTAAATCAAAAACACTATAGTTCTTTTTTAGTTCTTTATAATAAATCTTTAATTACCTTGATTTCTGCTAATCTTTGATCTAGTATTTGCTTTAGTTTTGTTAGTTTGAGATGGAACAGATAGAAAAAGCATACTATGACGAAATCATATATACAAACAAATATACATATTAAGTTATATATCTGATATGTATATGTATATACGTATATATATAGTATATACAATATTAGATATATTCTACCTTACTATATAAAAAAAAAATTTCTAATTCTCACTTTACTGACCTGGCCGGGTTATGAAAACCAATTATATAAGTTTATACGGCCTTATTGCGGTATCGTTTGTTTTGATTTTTGGACTGGTACGGGATGTGTTATAATAAACCATCCCGGATCAGTCTGAACGATATATCGGCCGAAAAATTTTATTATCGAAAAACTACACTGTTATTACCGAAAAATAATTACCGAAATTTGGATGATCATCACAAAATTCATCATGTATCCCACTAATTTTCAAAACTTAATCATAACTAGATAGATTTTTGCTTTAAATAACCGGTCACCGCCCCTATTTATTTTTAGGGTTAGGGTGCAATTTTAAGAGGATTTTTTTTTTTATATAATATAACATAGATTCGATATAGGATCTCAATTTCAGTTCCCATGAAGTTTTCAGAGGTTCTGAACATTTTTACTTAGGGCACCTGAACCTGTTTACTTAGTGCGTTTTTGAGATATATTAATATGCACCACGGTGATGGTCACCGCCGGTTATAGTTAGTAATATTCATATGTTATTATTATTATTATATTTTATATATTTAGATTACATTTTTAAATAGCTCAAATTAGACTCATTCTTATTTATGGTGGGCAGGATGGACAAGAAATTAGAGCGCAACTTGACGTTGCTGTATTAAATGTAAGCGCTACTCCAAATACTTAGAAGGCTATTTCAGATAAAGCATCACAGTGTATCATTCAGCAACAATATATGGAATATACATGATTATTGTATATGATAATTAATTATTTTTAAATTGAATTTAAATCTCTTGCCTAATGCTCAGGATATGATAAAAAATTTTAGTGGCTAAAAACTATTAGTATTTTATTCTATTTTTGGATTAGTTCATTTGAATATTAATTTTTTTAATAATGTTTCTAATACTTTAATTTCTGTTTAGGTGCAATTATTCCTTTACAACTACAGTAAGAATCATCCTCATTAATATTTAATAATAGCTTATATATCTTTAATACACAAAATTATACATGGGTTAACACTTTTAATGCATCAAATATATATGGGTCCAATTCCAATCATAACAATTCAATTTCTTTAGGCGAAAATATTGGTATTGATATTGGTGTAGTGGTTGCCGTTAGTATCATAGCAGTTGGAGGATTTTTTTTTTTATAAAAAATTTTTTATCCGCAAAGATACTTTTATTGCAACCCCTGGATCAATATAAATAGGGATTTGTTATTTATTTATACCCCAAATTTGTTATTCATACCCCATGTATGCCAAAATTTTTTAAACTTTCGTTATGTTATCTTAACAACCACTATGTTAATTTTAATGAGTTTTTTTATTTATTTATTTAATTCTACGAATCTGTAGAAAAAAAAATTTCATCGAATTTTTCTTGGTGGGTGTCGAGATATCTTCACTCAAAATTTTGAGCTGAACCAAAATTGTTATTAACTTTAAGTAAAGATATCTCGACACTCACAAAGCAAATTCGATTCTACAGATTCGTAGAATTCAAATAAAAAAATTCATTAAAATTTACTTTAGTGTTTGTCAAGATAACATCACTCAAAGTTTAAAAATTTTTGATATACATGGGGTATTAATAACAAATTTGGGGTATCTATAAATATCGTTATTATGTTCACAATTTTCTTTACACATTAATCACACATGTAATAAGTATACTTCTTATAGAATTTAATACCTCTCGTTCGATATAAATAAGTACAGAAGCTTAAATTATTAAGCTTTATAAAGGTAATTCATTCAATTTCAATTACTTAATAATTAATCAGGTTAGTAGGATATTTATTTATCTTCTTGATGCATTAAGATCAAATTTAATATGTTAATAAAAAATTTACAGAAAAATTTAGTCTATATTTATTTATTATACATGTAGTTATATTAATAAGATCACATTAAGTAAGAAATAAAAATGTGCTATAATTTGCCATCTTGAAGTTCTTTCTTTTTTAATAATTTCAAAATACAACATAAGAGCTTATATACTGTACCTAAAAAAACACACATTTTGTTTTTAAAGGTAGAGCTGTGAGTAATTTAGAACAAATTATCATCACTATATAAGTGACTCTGTAATGAATAACTATACAGGCTCAACACTGTATCAAAGCAATGTCAAATAATACTAGTACCAATTCAATCTATTAAAAGGACTTGGAATGAAAGCAGAAATTTATATTTTATATAATTTGTAAAGATTTTTTATATATAGTGAAATATTAAAATAATATATATATTTGTAATAAAAGAATGCTAACGGATTGAAAGTTTGTCAAAGCAATGAATACTTTATGCTTACATGAAGAAATTTAAGAGCATCATAAGAAGTGAGATCATTAATAGAACATGTCATTTTAATAAATCATTCATGTTGTAGCCAGAAAACTCAATATTACAGTATTAGCATAACCAATTGCACTGAGAGCAAATTATTTGTAGATCACTTGAGTGAAATGCCCTTATAAATATTTAATGACAACATACACTAGTCAAAGTAAAAAAAATCGGGTATATGTCTTATTTTAAACTGATATATGCCCGATTGTTGTTAAATTACAAATTCGCTATAGCTCTGATTGATGCAAATTTATGCAGCAACCTGATTTGTATATAATTAAAAAATAATTAGCCCCGATTTATGTCGATTGTTGGTGCAATTCAGCATGTGATCAGGAATAGATAAGGAATACTTTGTTTGAACCTAAATTAAAAAGTAGTTCGAGATCAGGTTCAGTTCAGAATTAGATTCTGACCCGAATTTATATACAGTACTTAGAGCCAGTAGATTTTAATAGTAGCAAAAATAGTACTAGTAATATCTTATAATATTGCTAGTGCTATTTTTGCCAGTATTGTATGTATATACATATGTACGTACATATCTAAAAAGTTTTAGTAGCAAGGATTACAGTACAATGTGGCAGTGGTACACAGGTCCAAAGGTGATCTCAGTTTGGTGATTAAATAACTTAGATTTTTTTAGCTTTGAATTTTTTTGACTTTGAATTTTTTTTATTTAAAAAATTTTTTAAGTTTATATTTTATTAAACTTTTTTATTTATTTATTTATTTTATTTCTCTTTATTTAACAAGCACGCTATCTCGACTTATTTGAATATTCTAGCTAAAATCTTTCAGCAATGCCTTGGATCAGGAGAAAAGACAAGAACACCACACTGATTTCCTTGGATCTAGTAAATAACCTTTGATCAAAAAAGCATATTTGTAGACACACTTTACAAGAGCACCATGCTGTCTTACAAGAATACCAGTTTGTCTTTTTTGGAACTTCTGGCAATAACCTTTGATCAGAAGAAAGTCTTAACAGATGCACTTATAAAATGATTTAAAGAGTAAATTGATTTGATTTTAATTCTAATTGTTAATAAATGCTTTATATTCATGAACAGAACAAATAATTAATATGACTAAAATAATTTAAAAAGTATTATGCAATGATAAATAAGTAATTTATATTTTATTGATCTATGAACTTGTTTCACTAATTTTAATTCAATGACGCCAGTTAGGTAGTATTATTTTTATGTAGACTTACTATATTTCTCTTTCCTGAACTTGAATAACCTTTATACTTATGAGTCGAATGAAATGATTTGAAGAGTGTTATATAACAGTAAATAAGTATTTATTATTCTTGCGAATTTACTTTGTTAATTTTAATTCTAATGATTAATGAATGATCTTTATAATTATGAGCCGAATGAAATAATTAATACGAATGAAAGAGTATTATACAGTAGTAAATAAATATTTATTTTCTTGATTTTGGAAACTTGCTTTGCTGATTTTAATTCTAATGATGATTTTCTCATAGTTAATTATGACATTTACCCACTTATTGGTTGATATGCATTTGTTATATTTATGGGTCGACTGAAATGATCAATTCAATTAAAATAATTTGAAAAGTGTTAGTTGACGGTAGATAAGAATTTTGTTTTTTACTATTGATTTTAATTCCAATGACTAATAATAAATGATCTTTAAATTCACGAGTTGAACAAAATGATTATGGTAAATAAGTATATATATTCTTTACTGTAAACTTTCTTTGCTGATTAATCTTTATCTTCACAAGTTGGATGAAATATTAATGTGAACAAATGATGTGAAGAGTATTGTGTTTTTGATCTATGAACTTTTTTTACTAATTTTAGTTCTAATGATCTTATATTAGTAGCAGAATGAAATAATTAATGTGAATGAAAAATGGTTTGAAAAGTATATACAGGTAAATAAGTATTTATGTTCTTTATTTGTGAACTTGTTTTGATTTAATTCCAATAATTAATATACTTATATTCATGAGTCGAATAAAGTACCGTACAGTACTGACTATAGTACCCCAGCAATAATACCCCAATAGAAAAGACCCGGGTACAATTCATGAGTTCATGATTCAGGAAATTGAAAAAAACCTGGGGGTACTGTAGTCAGTGCCGTACAGTAATTAGTACGAATGAATAATTGAATTGTACTGTGTAAGCATTTATGTTTTTGATTTGTAAGCTTAAATTATTATTTAATTTTACTAATTTTAATCACCTATTTTACTAGAATTTGTTTAATAGATGGGTTTATTGTAGATTTTTAGCTTAAGATAGGTCTAATTTAGTTGATGCGATGATAAAAAGGGTCAAAAGAGTGATGGTAAAAAGGCCAAAAGAACAAAGATGGAGGGTTAGATATTATTAATTAGGTTAGAATAAGTAGGTATATAGCACATATTATAGAATGTAAAAAATAAATAAATAAAATAATTGTCTGAAGCGTGAAATTGTGATTAGCTATTACGGTCTATTGTGAAGGGCTCCAGTGTGACTAGTTTTTTTTTTAGTATTATCTTATTTCAGTTGCTAGTATTTTTATTGCTGTTCTTGTTGGGTATAGAGATTTTTAGTTAGTAACGAAGTAGATATAGAAAAAATATTACCCTATTTGTAAAGTTTACTTCGTGAACTATGCTTACAAAAGGTATTTATGCTATTTATAACCTTTATTCCTTTAATGATATTAGTAATATTAATTCTATTAATTCCATTAATAGCACTTCAGGAATTAATATTATTTTGCTATGAAGTTCAATCTTAAAACCTGTAAGCTTATAAAAGCTATAAAAGCAACTCTTTTTCACTTCAATAAAGATAACAGAGAGTTGGCACAACTCAGTAGAGTTCAACTCTATTGAAGTCTATTATCTAACTTTAACGTTTCACTCTAATTACCCCCTTCTAATAAGTTAAATTCGTGTTGAAATTAGTAGCCTAATTTCGTGACTCCTAAGTAGAGCCTCGTAACATAGTCTAGAGCTCTATTTGGCTTTAATAACTCGAACCAAGTTTTTCCATGTCTCTCTCGTTCTTCTACTATTAGGTTAAAAGAGAGTTTGATCATTAGTATGTTGATTTAGATTGTATTAGTGTGAGTTGATATTCGTATTACTCATATTTTGTGTGATTCCGAATTGGTCTACAACCTTTACATTATACTAAAGCTTTCTCTTATTGGCCGATTTTTATATAAGTACAAGCTACAAAAAATTGCCCGATTAATGCCTGATTTATATCAGTTTTATACTGATAGTGTACCGATTTGCACCATAAATCAGCATCAATTGGGCTTTCAAATTTAAAAATTGG